CGTGGGCTCTAGAGCGCAGGCTCAGTAGTTGTGGTGCACAGACTTAGTTGCTCCACAGCATGTGGGATCTTCCCGGACCAGGGCTTGAACCCGTGTCCCTTGTACTGACAGGCAGATTCTTAACCACTGTACTACCAGGGAGGTCCCTGATATCATATTTCACATCTAATTGTTTTGTGTATCCCTTAACTGTGCATTGTGCATACAAATGATTTTACTACTTTTGTCTTTTAACCTCCCTACTAGTTTGTGTGTGGACAATTTACCTTTACCATGTTTGCCTTTACCAGTGAGCTTTTCCATTTCATAATTTTCTTGTTTCTAGTTGCAGCCTTTTCTTTTCCCCTTAGAAAAGTTCCTTCAGCATTTGTTGTAAAACTGGTTTAGTGGTGCTGAATTCTTTTATCTTTTGCTTGTCTGTAAAGTTTTTGATTTCTCCATCAAATCTGAATGAGGACCTTGCTGGGTATTCTAGGTTGTAGATTTTTTCATCACTTTAAATACATCATGCCATTCCCTTCTGGCCTACAGAGTTTCTGCTTAAAAATCAGCTGACCATCTTATGGGAGTTCCCTTGTACATTATTTATACCTTTCCCCTTGTTGCTTTTCATATTTTCTCTAACTTTAAGTATTGTCAGTTTGATTACTACGTGTCTTGGTGTGTTTCTCTTTGGGTTAATCCTCTATGGGACTCTGTGCTTCCTGGACTTGGGTGATTGTTTCCTTCCCCAGGTTAGGGAAGTTTTCAGCTATTATCTCTTCGAGTATTTTCTCAGGCCCTTTCTCTCTCCTTTTTCTAGAATCCCTATAATGGGAATGTTAGTGTGCCTGATGTCCCAAAGTTCTCTTAAAGTGTCCTAATTTCTTCTCATTCTTTTTTATTCTGTTACACGGCAGTGATTTCTACTACTATGTCTTCCAGTTCACTGCTCTATTCTTCTGCCTCATTTATTCTGCTACTGGTTCTTTCTAGTGTATTTTTCATTTCAGTTATTATATTCATCTCTGTTTGGTTGCTCTTTATATTTTCTTTGTTAAAAACTTCTAACTTCTTGCTCTGTGCATCCGTTCTTTTCCCAAATTCCTGGATCATCTTTACGATCATTACTCTGAACTCCTCGAGTACACTGCCTACCTCCACTTCACTCCGCTGTTCTTCAGGGATTTTATCTTGTTCCTTCATCTGAAACATATTCCTCTGCCACCTCATTCTGTCTAAATTTCTACTTGTATTTTTATGTGTGTGGTAGGTTAATTACATTTCTCAACCTTGGAGAAGTGGGATGTCCTGTATGTTCCAGCAGTACACTTCCCTCTCATCCCTGAAGGACCAGGGACCAGTCTGTTTGCAGACCCAGTTCCACAGGCTGTGTGATCGTAGTTTTCTTGCTTCTGGTGTCTGCCCCTGGCTGGATGGGGCTGCTCTAGAGGCTTGTGCAGGCTTCCTGACAGGAGGGGCTGGTGCCAGCCCACTGCTTGGTGGAGCTGATTCCTCGCCCTCTGGTGGGCAGGGCCGTGTCAAAGGGTGTGTCCAAAGACGGCTGTGGGCTCAGGAAGTCTTTAGGCAGCCTGTCTGCTGACAGATGTAGCTGTGTTCCTGTCCACTTGGTTGTTTGCTTGAGGTATCCCAGCACTGGAGCCTACAGGCTGTTGGGTGGGGCCAGGTTTTGGTGCTAATGACCCAAGCAAGATGTCAGCCTCCAACAAGAGTTCATGAAGATGAATACTCCCTAATATATCTGCCACTGGTTTTTATGTCCTCAGGGTGAGCCACAGCTGCCCCCTACCTTCCCCAGAGACCCTCCAAGACCAGCAGGTAGGTCTGGCACAGGCTCCTATGAAATTACTGCTTTTGCCTGGGTTCCAGGTGCATGAGATCCTGCATGTGCCCTTTATGAGTGAGGTCTCTGCTTCCCCCAGTCCTCTGGAGCTCCTGCTATCAAGTCCCACTGGCCTTCAAAGCCAAATGCTCTGGGAGCTCCTCTTCCTGATGCCAGGCCCCCGGCTGGGGAGCCTGATGTCAGGCTCAGAACTCTCACTCCTGTGGGAGAAGTTCTGTGATATAATCATTCTCCAGTTTTTGTGTTGCCAGGTAGTAAAGAATTTGATTACATCATGAGTGCACACCTCCTATAATCTCATTGTGGTTTTTTTTATATTGTGTAGAATATCTTTTTTGGTAGGTTCCAGCTTTTTCTTTAATTGATGATTGTTCAGCAGTTAGTTGTGATTTTGGTGTGCTCATAAGAGAAGGTGGGCTCAAGGTCCCTCTTCTCCACCATCTTGTCCCGAATTTGCTGGTACATGTTTTTGTGCACTGAATCTTATCCCTGGCTTTATTATTTCCCCACCTTCAGGACTCCCTCTCATTCTTTTTATATTTATGTATATTGGCAAACCAGTTCAAACACTTCTTAGGAAAGCTGGAGGTAGGACACACACACAAAAAACAGGCAAATCTGAAAATAAACTTAAATTATAAATTAGGATATAGGGACGAGCACACAGAAATATTACAGTACACTATGCTGTAAATAACAGTTCTTTAGGCTCTCTTAATACATTTAGTGAATCCAAAGAACAAAAAGCTTACATTAATTAAACAGGTTGGTTATCCCTAAGACTATCTTACTAACTTTAGAATGAATGACAGGCAGCCCTGTACTCTGATGGAACCAAAAGCTCCTGTGCAGTGAGTGGATGCCAATAAGGCTGCCTGTCCAGCAGGACGAGCCTCAACCTCCAATGGCAAGGGGCTTATTCACCTGCTATGGGATCACTGGGAAGAATGGACAAAGTGGGGTGACTGTTTTCAGAAGATTTACCTAACTTTTGGCATTTAAAACATAAGCCCACAAAAAACTCCCCCAAACCCACACCTTAATGTTTGGGACAGACATTTAAGGTTATAAAAGACAGTTAAAAGGCACTATATTTCAAAGATTTTTTTTTCAAGATGAGTTCTTTTATCAAAATCTGTTTGTTGGAAATATATTCACCTAGTGTGTTAACAGTTCAAAGTGTCTAGACATTTCTCTGATGGTATAGTTTCTCAAAATGTATTTGGACTCCTCTTTTGGAATTGCCTTCAGTGTACCTTCTGAATATCTTCAGTGATAGCAAGCCACCATCCATTAAATGGATCGAGTTTCTGGAGGCAATCTTTATTGAAGTGGGTGGAAAAATCTGAGTAATAAGTGTTGTTGATTATAAACTGTTTATAACAACCAGATCAGAACCCTGCACATATGGTTTTTCAAGGCAGTTCACCTGTTCATCCCTGCTGGAGTCAAGGAAGATGCTGAGGTGAACCTGAGGAGTCACAGCAACAGTGAGGCTCAGCTGGAAGCCAGCCTAGAACTGTATACAGCAAATGGGGAGAAAAGGAGGATTTGACAATGTTTAAAACTTCATCTGCTATCCAGTATAATTTATTATGAAAAATGATCATTTTCCTTTTTTCTTTTTTATTAGGTTGTTATATTTATAACAATGTAATAAATCTGGAGGTAGGAATACACTGAATTATGAGGCCAAAATGTTAGGAAAAGCACAATGACAATGTGCTGGCTTCAAGTACCTGTCACTATGTACATGACTTGGGTCACCGGGGGCCTGAAAACTTACTTAAACCTAAAAAACTGCAAACTTAAAAAAAAAAAAAAAGACCAAAAAATCTTGCAAGAATTAATCAAATGCATTTTTTCTTTTTTTAAAAAAATGAGAATACTCTAGTCAAAAAAGTGAGGAGTTCCAGAAAAGGAATTTTAATTACTGTAAGACTGAAACAAATATTGTACCTTATGCTAGTAACAGAACCTACTTTAAGAAATGAAAAGGGGCTTCCCTGGTGGCGCAGTGGTTGAGAGTCCGCCTGCCGATGCAGGGGACACGGGTTCATGGCCCAGTCCAGGAGGATCCCACATGCCGTGGGGCGGCTGGGCCCGTGGGCCATGGCCGCTGAGCCTGTGCGTCTGGAGCCTGTGCTCCACAGCGGGAGAGGCCAACAGCAGTGAGAAGCCCGCGTACCACAAAAAAAAAAAAAAAAAAATGAAAAGAATACATAGAGAAAGACAGGTTTTTTGAAAAATCTGAGGGTTAAGTTTCAGCCTATTTTTGTTGTTATTGTTGGAAGAGTAATGAAGAATCTATTGAGGCCAAACACAGGGAGAAGCCCCGGTAACAAAAAAAAAAAAAAAAAAAATGAAAAGAATACATAGAGAAAGACAGGTTTTTTGAAAAATCTGAGGGTTAAGTTTCAGCCTATTTTTGTTGTTATTGTTGGAAGAGTAATGAAGAATCTATTTGGGGGAACTGCTGATATCACTTCAACTACAAACTTATTTTCAGAATGGAAGATTCAAAATTCAAAAGTGATGTATCATTTTGTATTATGTTGACTTAAATCCCACATTGAATATTTATTTTGTATTTTATTTGATGGAAATAAATCTCTGAGAGCTTAAGAATGTTTTTTCAAGTCTATCTTGTACAACATGTTTTCTTCTCTTCATGTTTTGAACATAAAAATGTATTTTTAAGGAAAACAGAGCAATGCTAGTAATAATAATAATAAATCTTTCCTTAAAATGTCCACCTCAAACCACCTTTCTTGTTGATTCTCATTTCTCATTTTATTTCCACCACATATACTTCTGGTTCCCATGTCAAAGTACTCTTAAAAAATGAAAAAGTTAGTTTTTGGAAGGACAGAGATATATTGATATTTTTACAAGTAGTTTTGCTAATAACCTTTTGTATTTCTAAAGAACCTCTTACTGGACCTACCCTTTGTGCAGGTTCATGGTTTTAGAGACATAGGCTATAGGTTATTTTGTGCAATTTTCTCACTCAGGTGCTATTAAAAAGCAGAAAAAATAGCAAAGAACATGTGGAGAAACAGCTACTTATTTTCAAGACACATTTATGGGTGAGAAGAGAATTTATGGCACACATCCACATCTCTGAACAAGGGAAAATAAAGAGAGTTATACATACCTTTACTAAGCAATTTTTGTGTCCAGGTACAGAGCCATTTACATAGATTATATTGTGCTTTGTGTTTATTCTCCACACCTAAAGTGGAAATAAAATCAAACCTTAAGAGTTAAAAATATGAGAATATACTTATATCAATACAAACAAAAGCTGAGGCTATAAGTAGCCTGTAAAGAAATAATCATGTTAGCACCTCAAAATATTGAATGAGAATAAAAATTTCAAATCCTATAGATGACTTGTACTGTCATACTACAACAGATATGTCTCATGTAAGTGGTAGAAAACTCTCATTTTAAGTATAAATGTGACTGAACGATCAAGACTACTTGGATATTTCAGTATTCTTCTGGCACCATTAAGAATAACACATGAGGGGCTTCCCTGGTGGCGCAGTGGTTGAGAGTCCGCCTGCCGAGGCAGGGGACGCGGGGTCGTGCCCCGGTCCGGGA